TTGGAATGGAGAAATGCACTAGAGAGCAATGGCAAGAGATTTCAGAAAAATTTGAGAGCGTAAAGTGCAAATGAGAGAATTTCGGTATTTATAGAGTTGTGGGGGGAAGAGCAATCGTTTGAAATTCAAAACAAAAGGCAAAATCGACCGAAGGAATCGCTAATCATGATAAACATTTTGGAAATGCAGTTGAGAAGACCGAAGGTTTTAGGTTTTGGGGGCGGCGAAATTAATGGCAGAAGACGTTTCGACGCCTGCACGATGACAAGTGGACTCACGGATTGAGGTAGTGGTTAAGTTCAGCCATAAGGTCATAATGGCAAGACGGTTCAGGCAGCCGCACGCCTTAGACGTCATTATTGGGGATTGGCCGTGTTGGAGGATGCCACGTGGCGAGTTTGGTCAGCAAGATCAAGATCGTGCAATCATGTCCAATAAATGCACCTCGGAACTCGGGCACTAGGGTTCTGAGTGGTAGATTCGCTTCTTCAAGGCCAAAACTCGGCCGAATAATTCAGGCTGAGGACCTCAGAAGCGAGGGGGCAATGTTTGGGCCCAAAATAATAGTTTGGGCCGAGAAAAAGATCATTCTCGGCCCGAGAGGCCGTGCGGCGAAAGGGCCATGGATCGTTCAGCTCATGGGCTTCCAAGCCTAGGTCGGTTAAATCAGAACGCAAGCCGAGTCCTAGTACAATAGGGAGTCTCGACGGGATCAGTAATCCAGAAGGCGAATCCGGCTCAGTTAAGGACTAGATTCGTAGTCCTAGTGAAGATAGGACTGGTCAAGGTGATGTTGATCCGGAGAGGGAAACCTAGTCCGAGTAGGATTAAAACTCGGACTCAAGGTCCAGTACTATAAATAAGGGAAGCTGTGCATCAAGGAGGCCCCTGCAAATCAATACAAAATTGCCCTGCGCAAATTCTCACAACTTGTGATTTTTCTTTTTCCTTTTTCGCTGACACATCTTCCGTTGGCATCAACAACACTGTGGAAGCAACCGGTGATATCTTAAGTCGGCATAGATAGCTCTGTCACCGTAGAATCGGTCGGTTTCGCAGTATCTTCCGTTGGCATCAACAGCACTGCGGCGAGAACGGTTGATTACCTATCCAAGTCTCGGTCGAGAAGGGTTTCTGAACCCTTATTGGTCGAGGTCATCTCATCAGCCTTCTCGGCGAAGTGAGGTGTTACACGTTATTACGTTCGGCACATTGAAAGCCGAATTTGATATTGAACTTCGTAAGAATAGTAACCTTGTCTTCAGGTTCGAGAGCCCAAGAGGCCGAGACGTGTTCCTTTCTCGGCCGCAATCGCAAGACGCAGAAGTCAGTTGCGCACTCAACGCAACATCAACAAATTTACTCCTCGGCCGAGCTCGGCCGACGAGTTGGCACGCCCCGCATTCACCAAAGGACGTAGTTAGCTTATAGATTACTCGGCCTGCGCGCCACGTAGGCTTTGTAGTTTCTAGGGCCAACATGCACATAAAAATTAACTAATGAAAGCATTGTTTAAATTCTTTAGGCATAGGAAAAACTAACAAACTATGTAAAAGTTTGAAAACTTATGCTTATCAATTAAGTCGCATGTTTTGGATGAAATACATATTTCATGCCTTCACATGTTCACTACTTCTTTGTAAACATATATATAATCACATGACTAACCATAACTCTCATATAAGAATAAATAAAATCAATTGAGAATTGTCACATAATTACTACAAACCTCATTCATTTGTATAGCGTTCTTGTCCTTGCCATTGCATTCTCAATCAATCAACAAGTTATGCACCAATTCTTCATAGTGAACTAGTCAAGTAGAATTGAATGACTACTGAGATAAGAAAGCAAAATTGTAGACAAACCCGACAAATTAGTCATACAGATTTCGTGTGCTATTAATGGCATAAAACTTCATTCACATCTCGTGAAAATTGGTTCAAACAAATAGTTATAATTTATCGAATGAGGTCACGAAAAAATTAGGGGAAAATGTGTCACCTTACACATCCTTGAAATAAAATAGCCATACTTGTAATGCTATTCACGCCATAACAAAAGTTGTCAAAATGTATTTAACTTACTTTCATGTATAGATACATATAAAACTTGGCATATGCATCCCTGCAATGCAACTTTAATATATGTTATCACAATCATATATATAGACACAACATATCACAATAGTATTGATAAATTCTATAACAGAACTAATTCCATCTCCTGCAATCAGAAAGATGTCATGACATGGTTGGATTTTGCGGGAACAATTTAACACTTCTTGAATCCAACACAACCATTCTTTGTATATATATAATTTAATTTATCAAGACGACCAAAAGAAAATATCACACTAGAATCGTACATGCTGATGTATGTACGAACCTCTTCATTGGGCTTCCTAGATTGAGGGATCTCAAGAAATTCTCCAGTGCAAGGTTAGAACAAATGTAAATACACATACATGCTTGCAAAACTTGTATATAACCTATACTTTTGCGGAGCTTATTAACGCTAGTTTCTGACCCAAATATGGAGACACCAAAAAATGGCGTGGAATAAATGCATAAGTCATACTTCGCAAAAGGAAAATAGATCCCCCACAGTGGCTACTCTTTGAGGTATACGCAGCACATTACATTACATAATGTTATTATATTGGCTTCGGAACAAAACAATTAGAATTAGTCGGTCAATTAGAATGTGTACACTCGCGGATAATATTACTAATTTCATCTGCTCGAAATAAACAAACGTAAAATTATATATATTAACGATATGCTCCGGGCGACCTCCCCTACTGTATCGTCACCGACCCCAAAGGCTTGTTACCATGACTAGTCTTCTCTCGGGAAGGTGTTTTCTTGTGTATGATGTTGGCTTTAAGAGAGGCATCCATATGGGCCTCTTTACTAGGACGTCACTGCTGAATTGAAGCATTGTATACTAGGACGTCAATGCTGAATTGAAACATGGTATTCAATGTATGTACATGCTCTATAATAATTAGCACATCACTTATGGAAGTATATCTTAATCTTATAACCAATTTAAGCTTCAGGGATCCAACCAAATATATATCAACCAAAGTACAATACCATAAACCATCTGGAAAGTTGAAGTCAATGAAACAAACCATTTTGCTAGATATGGATATGAATTTAATTAGCATAAATCCTGTAAAAAATGGCAGATATTAAAACCATGCTCTGTAATTTATGACCTTGTTGCCGCAAGAGAAAAGGAATGCGGAGGTCAAATATGATGATGTTACTTATGGCAATAGACGGATGTGGGTTAAAAGATTGCACAATTTTTTCAAGACATGTGTTCTGTATTTCTCAACACTTAATAATATAATGAATTTATAATATAGAGTAGTCTGCGTAATGCTATTGTCTAATCAAAATTTCTGTTCCTAGGCATTACTGTAAAGACAAAGAAACCTGACATCTGCATCAATTTTTCAATTTTTCTCTACAACTTTAATCAAATCAAGGATGAGAGCTGCGGCAACACCAAAGTCTTCTACAAAGCATCTGGCCGGATACAACTACTTTATGAAAAGAGTTTGTTGAGTATCTAGGGTTTGCATTTATACTGGCTAAGGCATTAAGGTTCCATCCATAAAGGAATTACAAACCCCACTTTTTTAGCCTATTAGTTAGAAATCATAATCACATATAATCAAGGACTCCATCGATCTTACTTGCATTACAAGATACCTAATACCTAATATAAGATTGATACATTAGGAGATCAAATCACAATATCTATGTTAATATCCAATATTAAATTTCTATTATATATTGTAGACCATTTAAGGTTTATTTATATTAGAAGAAATCCAACATTATGATCTTTTATCACCATGACTTTAGACTCTGGAAGTTGGGTATTTGAATCAGTCTTCGACCATTTTTTTTGAGGGATAATCTGTTTTGAAGATGGACTTGACTCAACGATAGATATTCATATATAACCTACGCGGTATTTACTTTGTGCCCATAAGCTGCTGGGTCAAACAACGGGCTTGACCTTGTCACTGTTTTTATTTTTATTTACATCCACACCAATCTGTAGCAGGTCTTACCTGTTCCTCATGTGGATTTCTCCTGTGGAATGGGACAATTAACTAACTTTATTTTTATTTTTATGAGAAATGTTATTGGCATTCCAAAAATCTCATTCTGCACTTGTATTTTTCTTTCCTAATATAGAAAGTTTGGAGTGTAGAATGAGATTTTTTAAGTGGTAATAACAATTCCCTTTTTTTATGGAAATTTTAATTATAGCAAAACACAAATCACGTGCTATATCATTTTATGTGTTGTGATAAGACTGGGCGACATGGTGTTACACTTCGAGGGTATATTAATAAAGAACAAAATCACGTGTTATAATGTAAGTGAAAAATAACATCATGTGATCGTGTTCCGGTAAATTAAAAATAACTGGTATTATTAATTATTCTTAATTGCAGGCTGGGTCTTTTTTTATTTTTTTATTTTTTATTTTTTGGCAAACAACAGGCCGGGTCTATTCTTCTGCTTTGCCGGTCAACTATTTTGGATCTGAACGAAATTAATAGGAAATGAAGTAATGAAGAATAGTATAAGTATTATTCCTGCACACATCATTGACTTTTAACTACCAATTGTTGGCTTCTGATAATACAAGGCAACTTGTTTACTTTTTCTTTGTGTACGTAGCCAGTAGAAATATTTAGAAAATAATACAAAAAACAATTCACAATATAAATTAATGGTCTATAAATATCAGCCATCAGTGCTGTCTTACAATTAATTCAAAAAACTAGAGATTGAAACTTTTTCAAGAACTTCAATCCTTTTAATTTCATGATGAAATTTTATATGCTTTTGGATTTCGTGGGAATTCTAAGAGAAACCCTCAAACTTTTCTTGAAAAATGTGAAGCTCATGTCCTGCATCATCTTACTCATAATTTCCCTTAGCTCTATCCTCTTGGTGAGCAATATGTACTCCATCAAACTATCGCTCATTGATTTCACCCTCAATGCAGCCCTCCTACCTTCTACGGTCGCGGGTACCCCCGACTTCAACCACCTTTTGGTTACTTTGAAAGAGGACCTCCGGTTATTTGCAGGACTTGAGTGGCTTTTCATTTCCGCTTCCTGTTTTGCCTCATTATTCTTTACAACAGCTTCAATTTTAGCATCAGGGGTCACTTATCGCGGTCAAGACTTGTCTGTCAAGGAACTACTATCAAGGGCCGTGAAATCGTTGAAAAGACCATTTGTTACTTGGTTTTACATAGCCCTACTTGATTTAGGCTTTTATCTATTTATTATAGTCTTTCTGCTTCCCTTGTTGCTGACTTTTGGTCTTACATATACTACGCCTGCTTTCTCCAAAACCGTATTTCTTTTAGCTTTGGTTTTCCAGGCCTATCTAGCTGTTGTTTGGAATTTAGCACTCGTTGTTTCAGTACTCGAAGAAAAAAGTGGCATCGAGGCACTAGGGAAGGCTGGACAGCTTATAAAAGGATCTACGCTACGAGGATTTTTCCTAAATCTTTTGTCCGGAGCATTCTCTCTTTTGGTCTTCTATGGTTGGCACAAGACTGGGACAACAGTCAAGTCACTAAATGCGGCAATGATTCCATTGCTCCTCATGAATCTTATATCCTGCTTCATCAGGATGTCCATGCTGATGATTTATACTGTCCTTTACCATAAGTGTAAGGAGACTCATGGAGAAGAGCTTGAAATGCAAGGAAGCACCGAATATACGAAAGTGGCCACATCTGCATCTACCCCTTTTATCAGTGCAGATGTAGCATGATGAACGATGTCTGTATTTCTAATATTTTTTCCAATTTGCGCGTCTGTTGTAACCATATTTTCTGTTGCTCCATTTATGTTAGAAAAATAAGGTCTACTTGCTATATTAATCACATATAAAATCAAGAAATAATTCATGCAATTATATATCAAAGTAATGCATGCACATGAATGACCAATGTTAAATGTACATGACATAATAGATTATAAAAACCTGAAAATACGGTCGAGGCAAATGTCAAACATTATGTCCTTACGACAAGTTTATGCCCTACTACGGTGCTCATGGTTGATCAGCACTTGTCTCCCAAGATACAATGATCATGTCCTTGTAATAGTAGCACTCCAAATCACAAGGCTTTAATGAACCACAATTGTATTGAAAACTGTCTCATTTGGACTCAATGAGACTTTCTAATGTTAGTGCACTCTATCTATGATTATGTGAATGTAGAAGTTATTAAATGGTTATATGGGCTTCCCTGCTTATAGAATTTGAGATACATTTTTGGAAAGCATGTAACCATTCATAAAAAGTCAAAAGTTGCAACTCTTCATTAGGATAGACACGTATTTCCACCAAAAAACATCACTTATAACTAACAACACCCAATTTAAAACCCTAGCCGCTATCCATCTTCCTCTCCAAACTCAACCCCAAAACCTACAAACTCTAGCCGCAAGTCCCTTGCTTCGGCTTGAGACCAGTGGCAGTCTCTCCTCCCTCCTTCTAGCGCCTCCTCTTCCTAGCCTCTCCCCTCCCTGCTTCCTACCCAGTCTCCCCCTCCCCCCGGCACGTCCACTCTTCCGTGGTGCTACACAACACCTTTTTCTCCCCTTCCTTTGTTGACGACCATCATTTCTTACTCAGATACAGGCCTCTGTTCCATTTCTCCAAATTTATTCCAGTACAGTGCTTCTCCCCCTGTTTTTGGGACTAGATCTGCGGGTTTGGGTTGGTGATTTTTTGTTGTTGGGGAATCAGATCCCCCCTATGGCTTGATTTTCTGTGTTATGTGGTCCTTCTCAACTGTTTAGTGGTGGCTCCGCCTTCCCCAGGCGGCCTTGGCTCGTGAGTGCAGCGGACTTGCACTAGTTGCAGGTGGTGATGGGTCAATGGATTGGTTTTAATTATTTTAGTTTATTTTCATTATTTAAGTTTAGTCTTGGTCTTCTTATAAAATTGCTCTCTAGGGTTCCTAGGTCTTCTTAGGTTAGGAGAAGCGAATGCTTCATCTAAAGTGATGGCACCGAGTTACCTTGATTCTGTGTTCGTAGTTCTGCGAGCATAGGTCTCCTACTGATACTATGTGGATGTTAGTCCAACTAATCCAATTTGTTGGAGACATTTTCTGCCGATGGTTTAAATTGAGTTGTAGCGTGTGGAAAGGACTATGGAAGAAATGGTCGAAAGCTTTGCCCCATTGTTGGCACTCACTGCACGAAATGGTCGAAAGCTTTGTAACCAATCAGTTTAGTGGGTTGAAGACCCCCCGAGTTGCATATTTTGTTCGACGATAGTTCGAAATTTGTTTATGGATTGACATTTGAGGATAGGTCGTGTAGGATACTCTTTTCCCTTTAACTGAAGTGAAATTCCCAGCAAGGTTTTATCGAGGCCCAATATGCACACTGATGCGAAAATTAACTTAACACACAAATTTAACCCTCTTTTGACAATTGTAGTATAAGTATAAGTAGGGATCATTTTGGACCGGGGATTAGGAGGGCTTGCTAATAACCTCTAAACTGACTCAAAAACATAAAACTAAACTTAAAAATACTTAACAAGACTCACAATACTCAAAACAAACTTAAAATACTCAAAACAGCTTAAAACAACTAAATAAACTTAAACTAGACACTAGGAATGACTTTGGACGAAAATTGACTTTTACTTGAATCAAAACATTTAAAAACACAACAGATTCTAACTAATTAGACACACTAAAGTAAAGGGGGATTGAGTTTTGGATGAAGTTGAAACAAACAAACAAGTATGAAAAACTAGACAGATTGTAAAACAAATTTGAGAAATAAGATGATGGATGAGATAGCTAGAGGCTTTTTCTCCACACATGACATGTATGCAAAAAACTTGATTTCCAGTTACTACTTCATTGAATTATGAGCGACAATGCTCTAAATTAACCGTGACATCACTAGTTAACTCTCAGATTTTCCTTATTTTATTGGATTGGATGACATCATTCGACAACCCAAAACATTTTTCAAAAGTTCCCTACATGACATCATAATAGAGATACAATCAAAGATCATTACGTTTAATGAAAATCATAAGCATTGACAAAGCACTTGCAACTATGACATCATGTCGTTTATGCAAGGAATTGAACTTAACGCGATCGTTTATAAGCGATCTTCACTACATGTGAATATAAGTTTGTAACGATTATGTGAAACTTCCTTATATTCTAGCAACGGATTTATGCATGCCAATTAAGTGTCGACCCTTAATTAACAAATACAAATAAGTTATCAATCAAATAGTTAAGTCAATTGCATTCACGATTCAAGAGTTCATAACTGGAATTTATCAAATTATATTGCACACATAATCATGGCTTTGAAATCATCCCTAGCCAAGAGAGGTTTAGCCACTCATATTTACAACAAAACGAAAGGAAATGAATTTAAACATTAGAAACAAAAGAAAGAAAACACCTAAACGCTCCAACGATCCAAGTTGGACAGCAAGCACGTCCAAGCACTTTCCTTCCCTTCCTTTGCTACGGCACAAGGTGTTGGTGAGTGTTTGAAGGTTTGTTTATATGGAGGAATGGATGTAAAGATGAATGGATGTGTTTGGATGAAGGTTGTATTGAAATGGGGATGAATGATTAAGCAAAAACTAATCTCTATGGCTGCCACACACACTTCCTTTTATAGAGGAAGTGCATGGCAAGGAAGGTGAATTGGTGGTGTGTGCAATGATTCAAGGGTGAAAATGAAGTAATGATGCAAAGCATAGGGGGTAAAATGGAGTGGTGTTGCAGCAATGAGTGCAAAGAGTGGTGTTGAAATGATTCAAAGGTGAAAGTGAAGTGATGATGCAAAGCATGGGGGGGTAAAATGGAGTGGTGTTGCAGCTAGGGAACATGAATGATTGTGCACATGATATAGAAAGGAAAGGGAGGTGGAATGGTGTAGAAATGAGTCAAAGGTGCAGCAAATGTCATGATGCACGACATGGGATTCCAAAGGTGATGGATGGTGCATCAATGAGTGCATGTAGTGGAGGTAAAAGTTGAATGAAATCTGATGGGTGAAGGGAACAAGGATTGTGCAGCAATTGAGTGTAATGATTCAATGTATTGATGCATGAAATCAGAAATAATGAAAGAGACAAGGGTGGTGCATGGCAATGAAGTGTAATGAGTGTAATGGTGCATGAAATGAGTGCAAGAAATCTGGTGCATGAAGGGGACAAGGGTGATTATGCATGGCATGGGTGGAAAGGTGAGTAAGCGGTGAATCAATGAGTGCAAGGAGGTGAAATGATATTGTGCACATGGTAGACAAAGGAAAAGAAGTGTAATGATGCAACAAATGAGTCAATGGAGGGAACATGGATGATGATGCATGACATAGGAATCCAAAGGGAGTGCAATGGTGGTGCACGACAATGATGGAAAGGTGAATGGTGGAGTGACACCTCTTTGTGGCTGAGCTCTTTGTCCTTTTTACACTAATTCTTCTTTCTCTTTAACACATTCCTAGCCTCTTTAGTCTTCAATTTCATCCATCCACCTTGCTCCATGCATGTGCTATCCATTCCAAGCCCAAAACTGCTCCAAAATGCACCAAAATGCATCTTATTGCTTTATAAGGCTTATGGACCTACAAACACACAAAATAGCTTAAAATACATAATTAATTAATAAATAACAACATAAATGCATGAAAACAAGCTAACTCAGTCGCATAAATATGTTCCTATCACACACTATCCTCAGTTTGTTTGTATTCTGAATTTTCTTCCAATGAATTATCGTACTTTTCTAAAAAAAACATCACTTATAATTTCCATTCAATTAATAAATTTAATATAATAATATTAATATTAAATTTCCATCAATTTATATATATGTGGAGTTGTCAATTTTACTAACATTGGCCTATGTTTGTATGGTAAGCTGTGAACAAGGTTTTCGCGGCACTGGAAAGGTAAAAATTATGTTATCCAATTGTTGACCCTAAAAACTACCAAGCCTACATGGCACGTAGGCCGAGTAATTAGTAAGCTAACTACGTCCTTCGGTTGTATGCGGGATGTGCCAACTCGTCAGCCGAGCTCAACCGAGGAGTAAAATGTGTTGATGTTGCGTTAAGCGTGTGGCTGACTTCTTGATCTCGTGACTGCGGCCGAGGAAAGAACACGTCTCGGTCTTCAAGTTCTAGAGCTTGAAGACAAAGCTACTAGTTCTGCGAAGTTCACAAATCATCGGCGCCGGATTCGATCACGGTGATTATATTCGTGAGAGTATAAGCACGCCGAATCGACACCAAAGTATAAGGACACAAATACTCAAAACAAATGTATGTCTTGATTGTGAAAGTGGTTCGGCTTTCAAAATGCCAAACTCTAAAACCTACTTGCGAATAACTTATCATTAATGACTCGACGTTCAATGTGCTGAGTATAGTAACTTGTAACACCTCGTTTCACCGAGAAGGCTAATGAGATGACCTCTGCTGATAAGGATTCGAAAATCCTTCTTGATCGAGACTTGGATAGATAACTAGCCAGCCTTGTCGCATTGCTGTTTATCCAAATTGAAGGTGCTCCACAGTCGGCTGATTATACGACAACAGTGTTGTTTATCCAAACTGAAGATGTTCGCCGGTTGCCTTCACAGTGTTGTTTATCCAAACTGAAGATGTGTTGGCGAAAAAGGAAAATAAAAAATCTCAAGATGTTTGAGAGGTTTCGTGTAGAGCGAGAGTTTGCGCAGGGCAGTTTGTGTGTTGAATTAGAGG